GTAGCCTCCCGATCTAGAACCTAGAGATGAAGATCTTCGGATCAAGGCCAAACTAGAACAGCTCACTTACCTGGTGAAAGGCATTTTTCAAGTAATGATCCGCAAGGCCTGACCCTGAATCCTAGGCCAGGTCCTCCGGCATCTTTGCAACAAACAATTTCCGGCCATCAGTATCCATCCCTGGCCAACGAGCAGATGTGCACAGAAGCAAGGTTCTGTGCAGGGCCTTCAACCCTCCACCTGGAAAGGCTTTAGTCCTATATACGGTGTCTATACACGAGTTTGAGGAACATGTAGGCTGCAGGCCTGCGTAGTCTTGTATTGTGTTGCCATGTGGATCCAAGAAGATGAACCTTGACCCGGGTGTTCTAAGTCGTTGGCTGGGGGCTTCTCAAGATGAGGAGGGAGAAAGGAGATTTGAAGGAGTTATGACTACCTGGGAACCACATAAGATATTTCGAAACCTCACGTACTGTCGATGCCCATCTGCCTGAAGGGCAAGCAGACGCAACACCTGAAGCAAAGATGCTGTAGCGGCTTGGGGTTCTCAAAAAGGAGCCCTGCGGCCACTCCAACACAACTTTCCTCAGTCAGCGTTCAGCGCATGCTTACCTAAGAAGATGAACACCTAAACAGCTGGCCGGAGGCCGAAACGCATCAACGCTTGAGGCCGGAAGCCTGATGAAAAACAAGGCGAATGCAGCTTCCGTTCCCCGAATGCACCCGGCAGCAACACCTTAGGACTATCTTCGCCGCCACCAACATGGAAAGGATGTCTGATCCCAAATGCCACAGGAATAATGTCAAGTACAAGTAATGCATGTAAGCCATAGTAGTAAGAGCCTTTCAAACTTTTTGTATATTTACATTCACTTTGATTAGATCTTCGTGGGATAGACTTAAGAATGGGTTCAATTGGCTTGTTCAGGGGGGTTCAATGAAATACTTGCTGATGTTGCTTAGAACTCATTTGTTTACAGCTAGACTCTAGTTGGTTTTAGGCTGATTCTACTTAGAATTTGCATTGGTCTCATTCAGACTTTAGGGGTCTTGACAAGACCTTGACTGTTTCTACACACGTTCCACTCGGTTCTAACTGGGGTTGTTACTTGAAGTTAATTAGATCTGTTTCCAATACGCTTTAATCGAGTTAAGTAGGTTTGACCTAGAACTTGATTCGTTTGAACTGTATGTTATGAATTGTTGAGTAGATGTCATTGGTGTCCATTGGAAGTTCACTGGTTTTCAAATGGAACCTTCCTCGGTTTTCACCACATTGAAACTGATTTCGACTTTCAAGTTTCTAGTCGTTCATTTGGGTTTTCGATTGGGTTCATATAGTTTCAAATTAAAACTTGAACTGGTGTTTGAACTGGTGTTCGCTAGATTTCGAATTAGTTTGAATCGAAACGCAAGGGTGTGTTCCGGACATGTAAAAAACGATCCTCTCATGCAAGATCCGTAGGGAGTTGCTCAGGAAGCAGCGTTTGAGCTTTTCGTTCCTGATGGCATATACCAAGCAATTCAGACCTCAGAACAAGGACTCCTTGTCTCGTTTGAAGAGCAGCCAAGTGATTGAGTCTTCCTAACTTAAGATTAAGAAGCTTAAGCCTTGTTAATCTGAGCTCTTCATTAAGCAACACCTTCCTTGTTTAGGATTTGGCGTTTCAATAATTATGCTTGAGCTTTTTGAGCCTTAGGATCCTAACTGAACGTCTAGCCTTTCAAGCTGAGCTCCTGATGAAAAAGTCTCGTTTCTGAAGGCCTGGGCTGCTCTTGCTTCAATTCTGAGGTTTCGTTGGACGCATATTCGGCCCCTAATCCGGCCCAATTTTTTGTGCTGTAAATCACGAGGGGATTTTTCAATCGAGAGGATGGATTACATGAATGGTACGCTTTGGGCTATCTGGAGACCCGGGAAAGGTTGGGAATTAGGATTGACAATCTCAGAGTTGGGGGGCTTGGTTATGTTGTTGAGTTTCTCGCAGCAGAACTGGGCCCAGCCAGTCTCTGCATGGGCTCGTGCAGCCTTAGGATGGTGGAATTCCATGGATTGCATTTGGATTCAGAGACGTGCGCTGCTGTGGTTCAGAGCGCTTCAGAAATTTAGGACTTGGTGCGAATGTTCGTGTTACATGGAGTCTCTATGTGCCCTCAAGCAACATGTCTTCAGAAAACGCGGCCTCCATTGCACGCCCTAAAAGATGGACAGGAGTACCTGGTCCCCTGAGGAGGCACTAGAATTCTATTTCTTGAACCCTAGACCCTGAACTCCTAAACCCTATCTTCTATCTGTGCTTAAGTTGTTTTAGAGTCACAAGGCTTAGGGACGAAAACTCATCTTCATGTCATTATCTTATGCTATAATGCGCTCGTGTAGAGTCTGATGACAAGCTGAAGGATCTCTTCATTGCAGCTCCTTTTGCATGATGCTGATAACACGTGAGCGCTTGCCAGGAAAGGATTTCCAGCTGAAGTTTGTTGCAGGCACTCCCTCCCGGTAAATATTCCCAAGCCCTAACCCTTAACCCTCTTATTACGAGTCTGGGAATGTCATTCCATATTTCTAAGGAATGATCCAGCCCTAATTCCATGCCTAAACCCTAAATCCCTGACCCCAAACCCTGAATCCAACACCCCAAACTCTGAACGACTCTAGACCTCGAACCTTAAATTAAACGTCTAACCTCAGCCGCAATCACTGAATTGTCCAGGAAGTACACAGCGGGCCCGAACGGGTTTCCGTACAAGTAAGGTGGACATTGATGTACACTCTTTGGCAACTCCGGACTTTGGCAACCTTCAAACCCCCAACCCCTGACACCATAACCCCAGCCAAGCCCACCCAGACACCTCCAAGTACCCTCTATTCTGGAACGACATACGTGTTATTGCGGATTGTAGGACCACTTCAAGGGTATCCGCAGGCCAGGCTACTCACACACAACGAAACCACAACCCCGAATCAATCAACCCTATAAACACCGAAATACGCAACCCAAAGCCCTTAACCCTAAACATCCCACTGCCCCAAAACTCAAACCCTAAGCTTAAACTGCAAGACACTAGACTTACTGGTGCTTATTAGTTTTTTTTCGTCCCTATACAATCCCGGCAGAATATTTTCTCTCATCCACTACTAACCCAGGCCCATGATTCATAAACCCCCTTCCCTTCATAGCGACTATACTAAAGATCCTTATATTAAGGCCCTTAAAAGGAAGGGGTTTATCAATCATGGATCCCTAAAACCTAAACCCTAAATTTTAGTTTCCATGTTCTGTTCCATGATCCCTATATAATCCCTATATTTTCCCCAATCATGGGTCTCCATTAGCCCTTTGAAAACTGCACCTCCTCAGCCGGAGGCTGAGCCTAACCCCAGCCCAGAGGATGGCCAAAAAAGACCTCCTTTTGATGCCCCCCTGTTTGGAGCCGCAGGAAAAACGATGCGTTTAGGGTCAGGGTCTCTGAATGGGACTTACTAATAGGATTTGCCGGGATATTATATAGCGTTTTATGGGATGTGACTAGGATTTATATAGGGTTTAGGCCTAGAATGCTTTATAGGGCTTCGGGAATCGGGTTGAGGGTGTTGAGCATAAGCTGCAAGTGCTTAGGGTTGAGGGCTAGGACGGACTGATATGGAAGCTGATATGACACTCAACACATGCATCATATAAGTATACGACGGCTTAAGGCAGAGGATGCGGGTGTCTTGCAGTCTGTCCTCGTTCTGACATATGGAGGTCGCTTTTGTTGTAGGGCTGGTGCGCGATCAAGGATGGCAAGAGGCCGCGTAAGGTAAGCTTCTAAGCATTTTGCTTGTCGTTGTTTGAATGTCCCCAGAACAAGGATTACTATGTCGGGTGCAGAAGCGCGACCTCTTTTTTTGAAGTATTGAAATCAGTTCTGCAGATAGCCCGACTCGTGCACGCATTAGAGGTCATAACTGCTGCCGGGCAGCCCCAATCTAAAACGCTCAAGCCTGGACACCTAACTCCAAAGCATGGACGCCTGAAGGCTATTACACCAAGTTCCCAGACCCCGTTTCATGCTTCAGCTCCAGGGTTTATAGAGCAGATTTTCCGGCCAGGGGCTTGAGAGAGGGTCTGGGGTGGGGGGTAAGGTCTATAGTGTGGGGGATCAAGGCTTTTGGCGGAGACAGCATTGCGAGATTAGGAATGAAAGGCGTGTGAGCTTACAATTAAAGTTGCAGGGTTTGTTTCAAGGGCATGGCAAGGACCCCACTAAAGCCCCATGTAGAACCGAGGTTTGACGTCAGGATTTGGCCAGCGCGGTCTGTAAATTTCCACTGTGCTGAATATGAAAAGTCCGCTACGGTACCCACAAACACTAAAGCCACCAACCCCTCGCAGAAAGAGAATGTCGACTCTTCGACTCAAATGCCATGAGACCCAGCAATCTCAAGCCGCAATCCAAAGAACTGAAGCAACTCAAAGTAAGGTTTGGTACAGTGGTACCCCTTATCTGGGGGGTCACAGCTCGCACAAGCCACTGCTTGCTTGCTAGGTAAATTCCAGATCGCACGTTGTGGTCTGCCAGAATTGGAATACATGCCCTACAAGCCTAGTAGAAAGCCAAATACCCTAAGCCTCAAAGCCCAAAACCAGAAACCTCAAACCAAAGCGTTCAGAGCGTATCCTGGCCTCCGATGGGCGCTACTCATGGCTTGCGTTTATCACTTGCTGTAGCTTGACTTCGCAAAATGCACATTCTCTGATGTTGATTCTCAGGCCTGCCCATGAGCCTAGACCGCAATCTCCAAACTCTAAACCTAAACAGGACACCGAACTACCCTTCATTACTTCAGGGCTCTACCTTAGGCTTGCTTGGAAGAGGCTGGGCCATAAGCCAAGACCCATCAAAAGCCTATAAATCCTGAATCCTTACCACTAAACTCTATATTGTACTTAATAGCTTTATGCACCCCAGACCTTAAACCCCAAAGCTCTAACCCCTTGGGCTTTTTTCGTCGTCTAATTCGGCGTCTGCTCGACGATCCAGGCCGCAGCGGCTTCAACCGTCGAGCAGCGCCTGAGTGGCCCAAAGCAAGTGAACTCTATCTGTTGGTTGCTTGTTCGCAATCGAGAAAGGAATGGCAGCAGTTGTAGGGTCTAGGGTTGCCAGTAATGAGTGAAGGAATGCAGAAGCAGGCTAGAGGGAATGGCTTTGGGGCGACCTTCCCTACGAGCAGGCAGTAAGTTTGGGGCTCACGGCTTTGGTTTTGCTACTGCGAAGGGAGCAGAAAAGAACATGGAAGCTAATTTGAAAGTATTAGTTAGGGTTCTGGGTTTAGGGCTTGGGGTCGTTGGTTTCAGATTCAAGATTGCAAGCCTACACTGGCTCCGGTTCCCTAACGTGGTTTTAGTCGCATATGTAAGGTTCTGAACTCAAGATCCAAAGTTCGGGGGCTCAGTGCTGGGAATGAGGAAATCTTCTGTTAGAAGTCTTCGGGCCTCGAAGGTTTGCATAGCTTGCCATTGTCCTCTTTTTGGGGCATGGGGGGGTTCCCCAAACAGGGGTACCCTTTAAGGACCCAAAGGACATGTGGAAAGTGCAGGAAGAAAACACGGGTCATCTATCGAGGTACCCTAGACAGAGATGTTTAAAGCCTGCGCTTTTGATTTTTGATTGTTGATTTTATCGGCGGCCATCGCCTTTTGGACTTCCTAGCTTGACACAGGACTCAGGCTTAGCATGATGAGCGTTCATTATGATTGTTGCTTGCGAAAATCTACCTGCTTTGTGGTACCGTCTTGAAGCAGTAACCAGCGCTGTCTTGATCAATTCCACTGGTGGGTTCTGGTGGATCCTTGAAGATCTGGCGCCCGGCGGATAGTGACACGGAATCTTAATGTGGGAATTTCTCACATTATGACCATATGTGATCCTGGAGGGCGACTGCCACAATCACTCCTTCTTTTCACCCATATCTCCCGGGTATCCCTGTTTTCAGCACTCGAAGGTCAAGGGCCAAGCGTTTACAACCCCAGACCCCCTGTCACTAACACGGAATCCCAACAACGGGCATACAAAAGCTAATTACTGTCCTTTCGCAAATGGGGGAAAATACGCGGTCTCCTTTTTACTTTAGGCTTCCGAAATCCTCGAACCCAACCCGAGCCTGAGCTCAAGAACCCGCGCCACTCTGGGGCACTCCTAGATCCCCCTTACAGGTTGCATAGTCGTGAAGGCCTTGGAAGTGGACTTAACCCTGCTCACGAACTCACGCCGCAGGTGAAGGCCCAAACCCCTGAAGCACACGCTCCAACCCGATACCTTACATGCGTCAGCCCTACTAACCTCGTAGCAGCCGAGCACGCGACTTGAAGGCTTCTATGGCACTATTCTCACTGAAGCCTCGTGAAGAAGCTTCAGAAAGTAGTAAGGTTTAGGCTCAGGGGCTTGCATTCAGGGCTTTTAAGCTGAAGCCTTAGACCCGAAACGCGACATGAGGAACCCCGAACCTCTAACCCCGAAACTCTAAACCCCTAAGTCCTAGACCATAAAGCTCTACTTAGCCACAGAACCTGCATTCCAACCCATTCCGAGCTCTAACCTATCAATGAAAAGCTAAAAGAATCATCTCTAGGCTCTACTGATCTTTGGAATGACTCTAGGCCTGAAAAGGCTGGGGTTGATGCCTCAGGGAGGTTTCGAGTTTTGGCTTTGGGGTTTCGGAAGGCGCCCTGGACCCCAAGCCCTCAGCAGGCGGATGTTTACGCATGTTTATATCGGATATAAATAATTCCGGAGCCTGAAATGAAGTCATTTGGGGACCATTGTTTGCATGAACCACCTCTTTGGGGTGAGGCTCGGGTGCAACAGTTGAGGTGCTTGACCCTATTCTGTGGCTTCAAGAGCGCAGATTGATGGGGCTTGCAAGTTAAGGGTTTGCAGACTCCAGGAGTTCAAATGCTTGGTGGCCGAATATGATGCCCGTGTGGATGGAATCAGCAGGGAAAGATTGCATCAAGCTGATGGGTTTAGGGTTTGTTGAGGATAGTGGATTATGGTGTCGAATCCGCAGTGTGCCTGGCTAAGGATCCTGAACCCCCAGCAATTACAATACAAAGGGGTGTTCAGCATTTACTATTCAATCTGGACCCAGGTTGGGAGCTAACGTCCATAGGTCCACAAGGCCTTGCATCAGGGCAAGAAGCAAGCAACAGCAATAAACGAATGCACATGTTCCAGCAGCCAGCCCATTGTGAAAGCTGGCACCTAAAGCTTCGAAGAAGAACAGAACTTGTATGCGTAGCCTCTAGCACAAGGAACATCAACAATTCGGTGATGGGCCTTACTCAACACGATCCCTGCAGAAGCCCGTCATAGGCATGCATCGTGAAAGAACCTATTCCTTACTCTAGATCCGAATCCTTGAGCCCTGATTCCTAAAACCCGAATTCCCATTCAGACCTTCGAGCTTTCTAAGAAGATCACGTACACTTTACAGAAGCTCACAATCTTAGCATCTACCCAAGCTCAGACAGGTATTCAGGGAGCTGGGAATGAGAGGGTCTCTTTCATTAAGGGTCTCAAGACCCAACTATGGTATACTTCATTCTGAAACGGTCTGTGGTACACGACGCCATCCTGGTTGGGAATTTGGGGTGGCAGCAAACATGACTTCGAGAAGAACGCGGACACGCGTCTAAGGCTTCCGCCCATGGCCACAAGCGTTGCGATGTTCGCAGCTTCACCCGCTGCTGCTTGAGACAGCATCTGCCCAGGGCTCTCTGTGGTGACTTATCAATGTTCTTCTGAATAGCACCTACTTTGTGCCTGAAAGTGCTTCAAAAGCACCTACTTTGGGCCGTATGGAGCTCTGGGAGCTATGGGCACCGTTCTCAGGATGTCTCTTCGCAGTTATTCCCTACCTTGCTTCTACCAGTAATCAGGAACGGGGCTAAATCAGTGTTCTGCGAAAAGGGGGCAACCCATGTAGGGTCTCGTGTATTGCAATGCGAAGCCAGATGTAGAGACAAGTATAGCTACTTGGAAGCCGATGGATGGTTGGCTTTTTGACAACCTTCCCGGATAAGCGCCAGGATTACAAGTCGTTCAACCCATTCCTAGGATTGTAGGTGCTAGTGCTTTATAAACATAATCATGAGGATGCATGGGATGTAGGGCTGCCAAACAGACTCCAAAGTACACTCACCAAGAATCACTTCTTGCTAACATTAAACGTATCCCTCAGCCGCCCAACCCCCGCTACACATTTTTTCAAAGCCTGAAAACGAGTTTTTTTTGAAACATGTAACATATAGTTAGACATGGCCCTCTTTCAAACCCAGTATAAATCAAAACTTCTCGAGGTAGTCAGTTGAAACTCCTGTCTCAATAATGGCTGCATTGTGATTATCAATACATGGCCTGGATCTCCTTGGGATTTCGCTATACAAGCTCACCTACGTACATATTATGAAAAACCAAAGTCTAAGCGATGAAGGAAATCCGTAATCAAAATCAAATATCCGTCAGATTTGCGTTAAAAAGAGGACGCAATAGCAAACATGACAAAACAAGGGATATCCCAAATTCGATACTGTTTCCCACAACGCCGCCCACAATCACCTCGGAGCCCTGGGTTGATCTGTGCCCTTCTAATCATAGTGTTTCTTTTTAAAATGCTCTTTCATGATGTTAGACGCTTGCACACAATGTATACGCCAGCTATGGGTTGATCACGACCTAAACAAAATGGTTACCCCTTCCCATCGAGCCCCATATTTGAACTGAAGCCGCAACAAAATATACTTTCAGTTGATCCCACCAGGCTCCATGCATGTAACGGTGTATACCCCAAAATTCACGTTTTGCGTTTTCGGCCGCACACTAATTGCGAAATCTCAGCTCTTCAAAGCTTGTAAACCCTACATAATTTTGTAAGCCCTGTGACCACAAAAAAATCGTGAACCCTGTAAGCCCCACAAACCCCCAACCCTCCAAACGTTATAAACCTTATAGATCTGATGAGCCGTACAAATTGTATAAGCCCAAAACTGTTGCGTCTTGTGGGACGCCTGACCACTCCCCGCAGCGCCACTGCTCGAGCCGCTGTCAGCCTCAGCATGGCAATCCAAGGTGGGGTTGGAGTTGGGGGTAGGAGTTGCGATTACAAGACGTAGGGCGTTCGAAGAGTTGCAAAATGAAGGTCTGGGAGTCATGGGGTCTATGGTTTTGAGGTGGGAGTGTAGGAATTGGGGCTTTAAACTAGGTATGGTTCAAGGTTTGAATCTTAAGGGTCTAATCAGTATATTCGTTGCCATTGTGAAAATCTGCGTGCAATTCCGCTATGCACTGTCATCCAGCTGGAATTAGGTTGCCGTAGTAATGACCCCGAAAAATATGTTACAACTCAATATTATGGCACTTCCAGAAACTCTTTCCTTAAGTGCAACGCGGTCGATACCGCAAACTCCATGGTCAACTGTCTACAACCTGCACATGGAACTCATCACATGCATCTTGTGAATGCAAAATCTTACCATCATGGTTGACGCGCGGCAACTTAACCCGTTCAAAATGTCGCCTATCATTTATTTGTTGATAATCCCCTGCCCAAAGCACAAATACACACTAAGTATTGAGCCCTGTCGATGTCGTACGTTGAAATTTATACATGATGCTTCCGCTTTCCTCGAGGTAGACAGGCCCCTGAGGTAGATAGAGAAAAGGGAACGTCAGGATTCCACATACATCATGCTGGGTACTTCTCAACGAGGAGCCCTTAACCTACACTTACATCTCCTTCCGAAATTCAAGAGCCGTTGTGAAGCGGCCAACATCATACCGCCAGAGGCTGGAAGCAAGACGAAGACTCTTGACGACAGGCCCAGCTGTAGAAGACACGCACAATTGTTAAGCTACGTGGTACCATATTCCTTTCCTTCCATGATTAACACGTTCTGCAGTTACAAACCTCGGGAGACGTGTGAGACGCCAAGATTTGGCAGAAAGTAACATTTGTTGGATTAAAAAGTCGACAATGGCGACACCCACAACGAGCTCACAAATTTATGAAGCTCTGGAGATTGGCTACTATTGGAAACAGCGAATATGCCAAATTTCAAAGCTTGCGGCGCCAGCCCACCCGTTGCTGCGAAAAATGGTGTCATGTGCCAAGCTACGAGCAGTGACGAGTTCCTCTTGTCCTGGTTACGACGCAACGCAATTGCCTTTTGTCACACGACCTCTCGCGAGCAGATCTAATATGTCAATGTGTGATTCAATGACGGGAGCCATAAGCTGTAATGGAATCGCACTGTCAACACCAATGCGAACCTAATTCAGTACACGTATGAACAGTTTTGCTCCTCTCAGCTGCGCATAGAGTCAGCTGACAGAGCATCACTCTAGCATATGTCTGAATCCAGGGACTTCGTGCAAACCAAGCTGTGACGTGTAAAGAACAACATTTGCCTTGCAAAGTGCGAACCGCGCTCTATAAACCCGTCGGCGGCTGCATGGAACATCTTGCTTGTCCTATACCAGCCCAGTAATTCCAATAAGAAAAGGAACTTCTTTGACTGTTCAGCTCTAATGGTAACACACTGCCACGAGGAAAAGGTTCATGGCTCGCAGGAATCCAAAGGTCAAGAACAAAATGGCTACCTCTGCAGCATCTAAAATGCAGTGGGGAGCAGTGGTTCCAGCACTTTGGTGGCCCAGCTACGTTTAGAGCTTCGGCAAACCCCATTAACAAGAAGATGAAGAAAGGGCACCGTTTGGCTGCTACGAACGAGCCGCACACTGATACAACTCTGCAGGGGCTTGGTGCCCACTGAATAGCTCTCTATGCCAAGGAAGAAAACGTTTCAGAGCATCGCATCTTGGCTTTAGAGTTTTGTTCAAAGCTATCAGCCCTTCGTGAGCCTAGGGACAGGGTAGGCGTGCTTCAGGAACATTTACAAATTGTTCTCCGGCGCAGTACGCAGACGGCCGAGGTCTCATGGAACCCTTGAAGACTTCTTATGCAGAGTGCTTTGCTCTCAACCCCGACGCAGGACTGTTGCAGCACGTTATGTAAACCAGCTTTCGTTTCAAAAGCCCCCACACACACACCACAGAACCATAGCTAGCTACCAACTTGACCTCGCCATTCCACCAACAACTACTTAGATAGGCCAGGCATGATGCTAGATGATATCCTTATGACCCTGTTGAAAGCCACCATGCCAGAAGCCTCTCACAGATTAGCGCACCCCCGGTTCATCTAAAAGGGTCTGAAGTAAGACTCCAGCAGACAACGGGCTTGTCAGCTCATAAAGCAATTTGATTTGAGAGAAGCTGTCGAGAGCCAAAGCACCCGGTAAGCAAACTGGCTCAGCAATCACCATGCAACCAATCACTGGATCTTTTTAACACTGAACAATGCACAGCAAAGCTCCAAACCCCCCTAAACCCTCAACCCTGGACGCAAAAGCCGGAACTCTAGCATTCAGCATAGGGTGTAAGGGCTTCAAACCCTTCAAGGGTGTATTGGGTGAGAATGACTGGGCGCTCAATCCTAAGCCCTATAAGCTCCACACCCCAATCTCTCCTGCTAAACTTTGAATCAAAAGCTTGGACGTCTGGTGTTCATTTCATACCATATGGGCTCGTATGAGAACGCATCGCCGCGTAGTCAGTAGTGAGTCCGCGTTGGAACCTGATACCTGGATGCTTAGGCCTGAGGCTTCCCGTGCTGCCCAAAACATTCCAACACAAACTCCCCAACTTCAAGCCCTTCAAGCTAAAACACTGAAGCCCAAAAGAGAATCCATAACCCGAAGCTGTAAGCCGGCAACTCTACGCCAGATAAACCCCATGTAAATCCCAAGACGACCCTAAGCCCATAAACGCTTGTAGGGATCCCCGCGGCTCGTGTCGAGTCGGTGGCATTTGCTCCTGTCTAGTTTCCGGATGGATTATCCAGGATTGGTGGGGGTTCGGGTTTGAGGGTTTAGCGCTTCAGGGTTTGGGGCCTAAGCTTAGGGATTGAAGTTGCTTTGGGATTTAAAGGGATTGTGGCCTTGGGGTTGGATTTCGAGAGTTCCAAGACTTGGCTATGGGGCAAGGAGCCAACATTTGGGCAGATGCGAAGAGACCCAACCCCATCACCTAGACCCTATACCACTTAACCATACAGCCCTGAACAGTCAATCCCTGAATCCTTCAGCCCTGCAAACCTCAAAGCCCTCACTACACTACGAAACCATGAACCCCCCATACCCTGACCTCCGAACCGTGTGGCCCTGCCTTCGAAGGTTTGCCAAGGCTTCGGCCGCGGTTGCGGCCAGGCGCCAGGGGCTCCTCTATACGTACCGGTGTCGCTTATAAAAACAAAGGACTGGATAACAAAGTCAGAACTACTATTTGGGGTCGAGGGGGTAGGGTTTCGGCAATGGAGAAGACATGGTCATTACCTCAGTCTTAGGGATGATATAGGGGCTACTACGGGGATCCTTTCCTCCATTCACTACTAACAAACTGTGGGTGCATCTACGGTCAGAACAACGGGCCCCTTGTACGTGCTCTTGCTCCTAAGGTTCCCGCTTTGCATGGATTTGTATATATGTCTATATATAGAGAGAGAGAGAGAGAGAGAGTGAGAGAGAGAGAGATAGAGAGAGAGAGATAGATAGATCTATATATACATATACAATTCCAACATTCCGGCCTGCAGGACCTGTAGTACACGCCTGGTTAGACTTCAGAATTTGGGAGTCTGTTATTAT